CAATTCTAGTAAATCCCAGGTCCTTTCATTTAGGTATACACCCAACGACCACTGTCAATCACTCTTTGAGATAAATTGGGAAGCTGAAAAATTAAAATATTTGGGGATTACAATACTGAAAGACAAACTCTATAGTGTCTGAAAATGATAGCTTCTTGATGAAGACCCTCAAAACAGATAGAACCAGGTGGAACCTGGTGCCCTTCCTGGGTCTGGCACAAAGAATTGAAGTGGTTAAGATGAATATTTTACCAAGGTTTTTGTATCTATTTCAGTCATTGCCGTCGGAGCTGCCTACAAATACCTTCCAGGAACTTGACAAAATTATATCTAGATTTATCTGGCAAGGGAAAAGACCGAGAGTTAGATACAAGACGCTTCAGCTGGCAAAAGATAAAGGGGGGCTCTCACTACCAAACTTTCAAAACTATTTTCGAGCAGCTCAGATAAGTCCCTTGATTGATTTATGTGATTCTGGGTACATGGCAAGGTGGAAGGATATTGAATGTGTGGTATGCGGTGACATCCCCATTCCAGCTCTGACTTGTAAAAAAGATTTTAAATTGAATAACCCCTGGATTGAAGCTTCATTGAATATTTGGTTTAAACTGGTCAGGGAGTATAAGGAATCATATTTACCAATAACTTGGATAAACTATGACCCGAAATTTGTGCCAAATGTTTTTAATAATAAATTCAAACAATGGGCGAGTCGTGGGCTGATCATTTATGATAATCTGCTGGATAAAAAGGGGAATATTCAAACTTTCCAGAACCTTAAGAATACATATAATTTAGATAATAAGGATTTTTATGGGTTTCTTCAAGTTAGGCATTATCTAGAGAAAACTAAAGCACAAACCAAACTCCCTACGGGGATAACTGGACTTTTTCTAAAAGCATATAGAGATGAACCAAGATCCAAAGTTATTTCTAAACTTTATAGTGAAATACAGTGCAGTGGGGTTAATGATGTTAAATATATAAAGGAAAAATGGGAAAAAGAAGGAGGGTTTAGGTTGCAATTAGAAGAGTGGGAAGAGGTTTTGAAGAACAATGTGAAGTGCACAGCATCCATCAATTGGAGAGAATTTGTCTGGAAGAATGTGATGCGTTTTTTTAGGGTGCCTTCTCAGGGTGCTGCTACGGGGAGGGATACCTCCTGTTGGAGAAAGTGTGGGACAGGAAGCGCCGGGCATTATCACATATTTTGGGAATGTCCAGCACTTTCACAGTTCTGGTCTCAGGTCAGGAGCAGTATTGAAAAAGTTCTCTCTGTTACTTTACCACACAAATTTGAGACATTGTACCTTGGGATAAAGCCTGCCCATCTTATAGAACATAAGAAAAAATATATTTATAACATATTATTGGCTGCTGGGAAAAAGTGTATTACAAAAAGATGGCTTAGTGATAAAGTTCCGAGCATTGAAGATTGGATAAATGTTGTTCACACCATTTATGTAATGGAAAAACTGATATTTAATATGAGACTTGACTTTGACAAATTTGACAATTACTGGAAAACTTGGAGAATGTTTGTTGCCCCATTTAGATCCGACTTTGATTGAGTATGACTCTATGAAGCCATTGTATTTTTATTTTTGACCGTGTATGTGTATATGTGTGCATGTGTGTATGCATGTATGTGTATGTATATATACATATATATATATGTATGTGTGTGTGTGTATGTATATGTATATATGTATGTGTTTGTTTATGTGTCTGGGTGTATGTACATGTATATGCAGATATATATTATTTTGTTTATTATTATTGTTATGGTTTTATTTTAATTTTTTTTCTTTTGTTTTGTTATAATTAGTTTTAATATTATCAAGCTTTTTTCCTTTTGTTCAAGCTTGATAAATTCTCTAATGTAAATACAATGACTTTATTTACTTTAAAAAAAAAGGAGAAAGGACTATAATTGAAATGCTGTGTCAATGTATGATATATATTGTTCCTTTTGTCTCCAATAAACTTTAATGGAAAAAAAAAAGAAAGAGACCTCGAAGCGAATGCAACTGGGCGCTCAAGTCCATTGTCCATAGTATGTGATAAGACAGCACCAATGCCATACGGGGACGCATCACATGCTAGTCGGATGGGCCGTGCTGGATCATAGTGGGTGAGTAGTTCATCAGATGTTATTAGTCGTTTTGTTTCTGCAAATGCCTTTTCACAGTTTTCTGACCAATGCCATTTCACTCCTGTCTGTAGTAGCGCATTCAATGGGTACAACACTGAGGCAAGGTTTGGGAGAAACTTGTGGTAATAGTTTACCAGCCCCAGATATGATCTTAGCTGTGACACATTTTCTGGTTTAGGTGCTTTCAACACTGCCTCAATTTTCTCCTGTGATTTTTGTAAGCCATGTTTGTCAATGACATGTCCGCAGTATGAGATTTCACTTTTGAAAAATTCACATTTCTCTCGCTTTGCCCGTAAGCCATATTCATTCAGCCTGGTGAGCACCTTGCTTACATTTTGGAAGTGATCATCATCGTCTTTTCCTGTCACAATTATGTCGTCAAGGTAGCATTGTGTTCTAGGTATATCCTGAAGTACCTGATCCATTGCTCTTTGCCAGATGGCTGGAGCTGAGGCAATGCCAAACACGAGACGATTGTACTGGTACAGTCCCTTATGTGTATTGATTGTTAAGAACTTTCTGCTTGACTCCTCCACCTCCATCTGGAGATAGGCTTGTGACAAGTCAATCTTTGAAAACTTCTCCCCTCCAGCCAAAGATGAGAAGATGTCTTCAATTCGTGGCAGGGGATACTGCACAGTGCGCAGCACTGGGTTAATGCTCACTTTGAAGTCTCCACATATACGCACATCTCCACTTTTCCCTTTCTTAATCACTGGAACAATGGGTGTAGCCCAGTCACTCCAGTCAACCTTTGATAGAATGCCAGATGTCTCTAACTTTTGCAGTTCGGCATCTATTTTTGGGCGAAGTGCATAAGGCACTGGGCGTGCCTTGTGGAATCTTGGTGTGGCATCTTTGTCAAGTTAAATTTTTGCCTTCAGGTGCTTAAGTTTACCAATGCCTTTCTCAAACACTTGTGCGTTAGCCTTTAACAGCTGCAATAGTCTTTGATTAAAGTTTCCATTGGAGCTCTTGAGGCTTGTTGATATGTTGAGAGCTTTAATCGCATGCCAGTCAAGCTGAATTTTCCTTAGCCACTCACGTGCAAGAAGAGCGGGTCCTGCGGTTTTCAGCACATAGAGCTCTAACTGGTGTGTTTTGTCACCATAAGTCACATCCACTTTAAGTTTGCCCTTTGGCGACACTTTCTCCCCTGTGTATGTTTTTAACATCACTGAGGTCTTTTCTAATGGTATTTCGGAAAACAGTCTGTTGTAGTCGGTCTCAGAGATTACTGACAAAGCTGAACCTGTATCCAGCTCCATTTTAAGTTTCACGCCGGACACCGTTGTGGTTATCCATATTATTTTCCTGTCCTTTTCTGTTATGCTATGCAGTTCTAAGCATGACAGGTCATCCTCATCGCTACTATTCGTGCTGTCTGAATTTTCACTGTACATCAGTTCCTGATGAGTATAAATTGGTGGATCAAATAGCAGCCGGTTTTGAGAATATACCTATAATTTCTGTAATTATTCCAAACACACCCAACAAATGTTGATCGTATTAATTACATTTATTATAATTTGTTAAGGCTTAGTAACCTAACCAGAGACGCAGTGGAAGGTTTGGCTGATCAACTCCATCCAACATCTTTAGTTGCTTTTCAAAATAGGATGGCTCTTGATATGATCCTAGCTGAGCGTGGAGGAGTTTGTCATTTGTTTGATAATCAATGTTGTACTTTTATTCCTAATAATACAGCTCCTGATGGGTCGGTGACCAAGGCCCTTGAAGGGTTACGGATGTTGTCAAAAGAAATGCATGATGCAGCTGGAGTGGACAACCCACTTACTGCATGGTTAGACAATGTTTTGGGAAAATGGAAAGGTTTAGTGGTCTCATTGATCACCTCATTGGTAGCTGTATTGGCTATATTTGCATTAGTTGGATGTTGTTGTATTCCTTGTATTTGTGCTCTGTGTCTTAAGGTCATTAACAGTGCCATTCGCCCTGATCCAAAAGGACAGTGTCCCCAGCTGTATATGAAGGATATTGAAAAGGACCCAAAACCACATGATGTTACCCTACTTGGATGAGTGACCTCTTAAGAGAGGTCAAAAGGGGGAAATGAAGACTATATCAAGTAATACAGTATCGTGAGTGTATCACATGCATATATCAAGTATTGAAATTATATTTGACTATTACGCATTGAGTTGTTTAACCACTGAAATCTTATGTATGTTTAAAGGTACCACGATGTGAAACATGTATGCTTTTAAGGTAATCCTTTGCAGATATAGGGGGTGTCTGTTTAGGGGATTTCATCACAGAGCAGCAGCAGTGGAGATGGGTCGGCCTGGTGCGAAACTAAACAAACGGGTGATTTACATTGGGCTGCTGTCAACTCCCTAAACCTAAAGGAATGCAGAGATACTCCAGAGAAGACTCAAGGCGTTACCTGTTCAACATATTATTTGCATATGTCTATATTAACTGGGTTAAGTTAGTTCAGGGGCAGTTGGGTTGCCTGATCATAAGACCTCTGTAGCCATAGGCAGTTAGGGACAACAATCTGACCCAGAGCTCTGTATTAGAATTACATTGTTTAGGGAATAAATTCTTTTGGATTATAATCGATCAATTCCAGTGGTTATTTTTAAGAGAACACGCTGAATGTTTTTTTGAGGATACCTAACAGCGTGTATAATCCTGCTTTGTAAGTAAGAAAATCAGGAAACTTTCACAATTTTACAATTTTTCAACATCTTGAATATTAAAAACTGTAAGTATTTGAATTTATTTGATTAATTGTCCAACCCATGCATTTACATTCTTGAGTACATTGAGTATCGAGCCGATATGCAAACAAATAAACACACAAGAGTCATGACAGTTCAGTTTTAAGATTTCTTCATATATTTTGGTCAAGTCAAATGGCAAACGACATATGGTCACATGTTATAAATAAATACTTGCATTTTTACATTTGTACATATCTACATGAACAGTCCAGGTCTGACAGAAGACAACGGATTTAAGACCAAAACAACAACAATAACACATCTGTCCCTTCATTAAACTCACAATGTTATTTTTGTGCTAGAGACAAATGGACCTGGATAATTTTTAATACAAAAGCAGATAACACATTGTCTCCGTAAACAGGTTTAGTAAAAAAAAGACACAAAATCAAAGAAATAAAGTCATAGATGATCTTAAATCTTAAAATGACTTGAGTTGTGACGTTGATCAGTTTTAGGCCTACAAGATCTGTTCCTGACAGCTGTTTCACATGTTTAAAGATGCACTATGTAACTTTAAAGTAGGGATGGGCACGATTAGTCGATTAATCGATAATTGATCATTAAGAATTTCATCGATTACATTCATTTTAATCCACAAACCGAATGTAGGTTGCTGTGCGTCGCGTGACCAAACATGTACTACATGTAGCTCTCTGCATTCAGAAGGACGAGCAAACACAGTCAGTCAGTCTGCAACGTGCAGAAGCGCAAATGTGTATTTAACAATGACTTGTACAAGAAATTCCACGCTTTCCATTGCATTCAGGACAAGTGGGAGTCCATGTGCACAGTGTAAAAAGTAGCACATATGTTTCGGTGTCCAGTGGGAAAAAGTTTTGCCAGGTGAGACTTGCGCAATGTCAATGACGAGTCCCCACCTCCCTCCCCCCATACAGTGTCCTGGTTTTGACAAATGCAAATATGGTCACACTAACCTGTATTCCACTGAGTGGTGCCGCATCGGCGCACAAGAGCTGTTTTTTTTCTTCTAGTTTATGCAAATTAGCCATGTGGTTTTAAGTTTTGTTTCTGTGAGACTTGCACAAAGCTGCATTAAACACATTATAATGTCAAACAGCTTGATGTGGCTCTATAGTGGTTACGGTTTATATGTCGTAAAGTTAAATTTATGCAGATTAGTAGTGCAGATAGTAATAATAATGATGATAAATTTGATATAAAAACGTTAATGATTAATGGATAATGATCGTTAATTCTCCCGACGATCGATTAAGGAAATTTAATCGAATGCCCATCCCTGCTTTAAACATGTGGGTAGTATGCCACTTGCTAAACTCCAGGTCTTTGCTTATATGTTCCATAGTATGGCATTAAACAGATCTTTTTCCATGGAGACAAGTCTCTGACATCACCAGGCAAAGTCACATGTCAGATGTGGAGACGCATGTCTGCCGCAAGGTGTGTGAGCAATTAAAACTAGGGATGTACCGATACGATACAGGTATTGGACAGGCCTGTTGATGGAAAATTCGGGGGCCTGGGGCAAGAGACCTCACAGGGGCCCCATTTAATATAAATAGACAGGAAGAGGGTCCAACTCTGGGCCCCTAAAACCCTGGAGCTTGAAACAACAGACCTCTTTGTCCCCCTGTCTGCTGCCCTGGCACTATATCTGCACCGATATTGAACATTTTGGTGGATCAGATTTTGGTTCGGCTCATATTGTCCTATAAATTGGTGTAATAAAATGATTTACTGCCAAACACTGGCCCAAAATGTCTCATAATATTCAACTGGCAACTAACAAGCTTTAAGACCACCACACATTGCAGGAATTTTCAATCTTAAAAAATTTTTAAACGTGCGACAAAAAGCTCACACCACAAACAAGAAGAATCTTACAAGATTTTAAATCTACGATCACAAAGACTGGAGCAGAATATAAAGTTGTGAGAGCGATCACGTCAGCGGTTTCCTGTTTACAGTAAAACCAGTCGCTCTGACACTCTTAAGTGTTCAAAAATCAGAGCTCTGCACTTCTAGTTCAGATACAAGTCAAACTGTGTTATTATTATTTGGGAAATGTGGAGCAATATTTCAGATACAGGATTTTTAATTCACAGAAAGCTGGAGATAATGTCCACAGGTAGTAGAGTCACTATCACTAATCTGCAGCTTCACCTCAACCTGCACGAGACTCAGACTACGTTCAGACTGCAGCCTGAAGTGACCCAAATCAGATTTTTTGGCCCCTATGTGATCTGTATCTGATCTTTTAATGACAGCCTGAACGACACAGATCCGATTTTTTCAAATGCAACCCAGGACACTTGGATATGTGCTCCTAAAACCGATACATATCCAATCTTTTGACATGCGACTTCAGTCTGAACGGCCATAGCGCATTCATCCGACCTACACGTTATTGACAAGTCACAAATATACACAAATGTTCTTCTCGGCACATGAAAATTGTTAATGAACTCCGTGTCGCTGAAGCGAAGCACATCACCACTCACCACTCTTGGCTACGTCTCCACATCCACACGTTCCTTTCAACGGACGTCAATGCTACTGCCCCACAAAACACCACGGCCAAAACCTTCTCCTTCTCAATCTCGTCCTTAAAACAAGTAAGTTGTTCATGTTCTGGCTCCGGTACGAGAGAAACTTTAAAATCTCCAGGTGCTCAATGCTCAGTGTTTGGACAACTTCTGTAAACACACAGCATGCTCACTGCAGTTGACGTCGTCGTGTCTCCAGTGCACATGTGCGACACTTTTGGGTCGTTTAATGTTCACACTGGAGATCACATACAAGTCGCATTTAATTGGAAATGTGAACGACCTCGCAAAAACATCAGATTTCACAAAAAAAATCCGAATTGAGCGTTAAGCCCTGCAGTCTGAATGTATCCTTAGAAGTACTGAGGACAGTCTCTATGGATAATGTGGATGAGATGCTGTAGTTTAACTTTACAACTTAAAGAGAGGTGAGGAATAAATTCACCTCATTATTTTTCGATATTTCACAAGTTTGTATGTTGAGTCTGTGTGTTTGTCACTCCTCTGATGCTCTGTTTTATTGGCTGTTGCCATAGCATTGCTGATGTCTGATGGTTACGATCTGACAGAGCCCCTCAGTCTCACAAGTTACAAAACATTTGGATGATCATTTTTACCACACGCTGACTGAGTTTAAAGGAAATAAATGATGTTTTCTTTTCAGTCTGGGCCCAAGAATCGTTTGATAACAGCAGATATCTAAAATCACTGTGTACACTAATGATGACACCTATAATCACATAAATGTAGGAAAGATAAAGCCATACTGTGGAACATTCAAGTCTAAAAAGCATCTCCATGGGGACAAGCAGACCAGAAAAGTTACACAGTGCATCTTTAATATTAACACAAGGCACTGAAACCTGTCAGAAAGTCTTAAAACAACAAACTAAAATCTATGAACTTGTGCAAACTCAAATTGAGATTCAGAACTTGAAATCGCTTTAACGAAACCTCGACATTCTTTTTTCTGTGTTCGATTAGCGCTCGCTCAAACGCCACGGAATAAATAGCAGATAAAGGTCCGATAGTTCAACACTGATAGTCGATACAAAATTAAAGTGTGCAAACGCTGCCACACGGGCTCTGCTTCTGGTTCTGGCTCTGGTTCTGGCTCTGGTTCTGGTCCAGTCTCTCGGTGTCTCAGGGGTAGGGCCGCAGGTGGCTTGTCTGTGGGACCACGGTGAGGTAGTTGGAGGGCACGTACCCGCTCTGCCCTCCTCGCGTCTGGACCAAGCTCCACTCGGGGTTGCCCTTCTTATCGTGGGGCTCCAGGACTCGCACCGGCTCTCCTGCCCCCAGAGAGACCTCCCGGTGCCCCCTGGCCTTGAAAGGGTACGCCGCCACCACCTGGAACCCAGAAAGAGTCGAGGATAATACGTGAAATGAAGTGTACAGGTTTAGTGACGTGTACGAGATCTGAAGAGATCTGTTAGATGAAGAGATCTGTTAGATCCATATTTGTGATTGAAATGAAATATATTGTTACCAGCTCTAAACCAGATCTAAACCAGGACTGAACCAAGCCAGGTCTAAATCAGGACTAAACCAGGACTGAACCAAGCCAGGTCTAAACAAGGACTGAACCAGGTCGAAATCAGGACTAAACCAAGCCAGGTCTAAACCAAGACTGAACCAAGCCAGGTCTAAATCAGGACTAAACCATGACTAAAGCCAGGTCTAAACCAGGACTGAACCAAGCCAGGTCTAAACAAGGACTGAACCAGGTCTAAACCAGGACTGAACCAGGACTAATCCAGGTTTAAATCAGGACTGAATCAGGTCTAAACCAGGACTGAACCAGGTCTAAATCAGGACTGAACCAGGACTGAACCAGGTCTAAACCAGAACTGAACCAGGACTAAATCAGGACTAAACCAGGTCTGGGGGTGTATGTTCTGGTGGTTTTATCCATGGAGATGTTCTTGCTTTGTCTAGAATGTTCCACAGTATGGCATTACACCTTTCTGTCTTCATGGAGACCAAACCAGACCAAGTTACAGTTCAGATCTGTGGAGAGGCGACCACGCTCACAGTAAGAATGTCGGATTTTGTAGATATTTTTGAGCTGTAAAACCACCTGTAATTGAATAAATCTAAGACAGATCTGTTTAATGTCACACTGCGGAACATTCCAGATAGAGTGATGACATCTCCATAGAAACAGACAGTGACGTGACCAAAAAGTTCCGTAGTGTACCGTTAGGCATCACTGCAATAATGAACTTGCAGTGTTTTCTATCTGGTCTCGAGTCATTTTTCCCTCTACCACTACCACTGATAAGTACAAACGACTGCGGCTCTGAGTGAAAAGGTTAAAGCTCCGGCTACATGTCCCCCTCTCTGCTTTTAACGAGACGAGCGGTGGCAATGAAGACGCGAACACACAGGGCTAAAGCTGTCGCGCTAACGTCTCGCTAAAGCCCGGCGTCATTAGCAAGCCGTCACCCCCCGCGCCGCTCAGAGACTAGAACCGCCTGATGGCTAGCACTCATGCCTCACAGCAAGAAGGTTCCTGGTTCGATCCCCGGGTCGCCTAGGCCTTTCTGTGTGGAGTTTGCATGTGTCTCCTTGTGTCTGGATGGGTTTCCTCCGGGTGCTCCGGTTTCCCCCATCAACCCATCAATCATTGTGTGTCCTTAGGCAAGACACTTCACCCACATTGCCTAGTATGAAAGTGGTGTGTTAGTGATGGTGGTGGACCGATGGCGCCAATTGGCACGGCAACTGCACTTCTGTCAGTGTGCCCCAGGGCAGCTGTGGCTACAATAGTAGTTTACCATCCTGTATATATTCTGTATTTATCATGAGATGCTGTTTCTGAGGGTGAGATGCTTGTACAGTGTGCGCGTCACGGTTACGTGTGTCTGAGTTACACGACAAATCTTTCCAGCTGGGATTTATGAACGCATCTCCACTAATATGAGGTGAGTTTTCATCAAATAAAAAGTGATGTAGCATTGAAGACATGAAGAACATCTAACCTGCATCCAGCCTTAATAAATGTAGGCACATTTTCTGATCAACAGCGGTCTGTCTCCTCGCTGTGAGTGCACAAGAGCGAGGAGGGAAAAGTTTAGACACACAGTGTTGGAGAAGCACGGGTGATTGTGTCCATGGAAATATAATAAGTATAATAAGATCTTAAAAAGATCCAAGATTGTGTCTGATCAGATGAGCCAAGACTATCTCCATAACTAAGAAAAGTGTACCATTCACAGCAAAGAGTCAAAATCAATTAGGCATTCCTCCCGGGCGTTTTTTTGAACTGCTGCGCCCGGGAAAGAGGGGACATTCTCTTTGGCCTTTAATAGGCCAAGTCTCACACTATGATGTATTGAGTTAGAAAATCTGCATTCTATATCTATCTATATTAATTCAAAAAACGTCTGTCTGTGTGTCTATTTGTCTGTTCCACATGTAACTGTCGAACCATCTTTCTGACCGTTCTCAAATTCAGAGGGTATCGTCCTAATGGGACGCCGAGCTGTATTATCAGAGCAGACGAGGAGCCACGGAACTGGACGGATGATTCGGGTGGGATTAACACGATTATCGAGGTACCCTGCTTTTATTTTGTTTTTTGCTCTTTGAGTGAAGTGAGCCGGAGGTTTTGGTCACACCGTACCCGAGCATCGATACAGGCCTGCAACTTAGGGTGTATTTAGATGCCGGCATTAGGACTAGTAAATGAACAATAGAGTTGTACATTTTTGTGAAGCTTGAAAGCATTTCAAGTTGTGCATTTTTATTTATTTTTTCTTTATTAAAGGGAGGGTTATTTTAAATCTACTTTGTGTCTGGTGTTAATTTGGTACCCCATAGACTATCTGCTTTTGGTCATTTCCTGTCTGGTATTAAAGGTGCTGTACTGCTGTCCCAAAATATTAGAAGTAGGTTAGGTTTAGTACGAGAGTACACTGTAAAAGAACCCAGAGCCCACTCAAGTAATTAATGAGTATTCAAGGGCTACAGTTTCATAAAGGGCACAATTCAGGACAAGAACAGTGAGTATATGGCACAGAGGACAGTGAGTATATGGTACAGAGGACGGTGAGTACATGGTACAGAGGACGGTGAGTACATGGTACAGAGGACGGTGAGTACATGGTACAGAGGACGGTGAGTACATGGTACAGAGGACAGTGAGTATATGGCACAGAGGATAGCGTGACCAAACAGGGGTCTGTACATGTGTCTATCTGCACTCAGAAGGAGCGAGACACAAACAGTTGGTCAGTCTGCAACGTGCCGAAACACAAATGTGTATTTAACAATGACTTGTACAAGAAATTCCACGCTTTCCGTTGCGTTCGGGACAAGTGTGAGTCCATGTGCACAGTGTACAAAGCAGCACATGTGTTTTGGTGTCCAGTGGGAAAAAGTTTTGCCAGGTGAGAGTAGCACAATGTCGATGATGAGTCCCCACCTCCCACCCCCCGTACGATGTCCTGGTTTTGACAAACGCAAATATGGTCACACTAACCTGTATTCCACTGAGTCATGTCTTTTAATCCGACAGAAACTGACCGCATCAGTGAACAAGAGCTGTAGTTTTATCTTTGCTTAGTTTATGCAAATTAGCGATGTGGTTTTAAGTTTCATTTCTGTGAGAGTTGCGCAAAACTGAATTAAACACATTATAATGTCAAACGGGCTGATGTGGCTCTAGAGTGGTTACTTATATGTCGTAAAGTTGAATTTATTTATGCAGATTAGTAGTGCAGATAGTAATAATAATGATGATAATTTTAATATAAAAACGTTAATGATGAATCGATAATCGATCGGTAATTCTTCTGACGATCGATTAAGAAAATTTCATCAAATGCCCATCCCTATTCTTTATACAGAATCACTTTTAGGAAGGTCTTACATAGTATTAGTAGAAATACATCGTTATGTAAGATAAAATCCTGAAATAGTTGTGGTACTCATTCTGGTCTGTCTACGTTTATAGATTAACTAACTTAGTTTCATAAAGGGTACAATTCAGGACAGTGAGTATATGCTACACAAGAGGGAGAATAAATACTGTACAGTGAAAGCTAAAAATGCAAGCCCAAAGTAGTGATCCATCTTGCATTTGCTACAATATTTCAGTTTCTTCCTATAAAAGATTTCTCCAAAGCGAAGCCAAAATCCCCTCTCATTTTTCAGCGGCGCGCATGACAGCTCCATCTGCCGCTCTGAAATATTAACACCAGACAGTCCGATCTCAAACTTTTCTCAAACATCTGCGAGTTTACCTCCATGTCATAGTCATTTTGCATTGGCGAGGGGAAGGGAGAAAGATCGAGTTTGGCGTTTTTTGTCACGACTAAACTCGGAGAGAGTCGTCAAGCTAAGAGTGTTCATGTGGGGAAGTGTAGAATATTTATAGCCCGTGTCAGGCTAAAAATAATAAAGTTTTTTCTCATACACTGCGGCTGCTCACTGTAGCCTGACAATTCAAGACATTACGCAAAAGGACAGTCAAAAAAGTCATGCTCAGGTACGACTGATACTTTACACTGACACCAGGACTAAACCAGGTCTAAACCAGGTCTAAACCAGGACTAAACCAGGACTAAACCAGGACTAAACCAGGTCTAAACCAGGTCTAAACCAGGATTAAACCAGGACTAAAACAGGACTGAAACAGGAATAAACCAGGACTGAAACAGGTCTATACCAGGACTAAAACAGGACTGAACCAGGACTAAACCAGGACTAAACCAGGTCTAAAACAGGACTAAAACAGGACTAAATCCAGAACTAGAACCAGAACAAAACCCAGGACTAAAACCAGGACTAAACCAGGCCCAAAACAGGTCTAAAACAGGTCTAAACCGGAACTAAAATCAAAACTACTCTAAACCAGGCCTAAACCAGGTCTAAACCAGGACTAAAACCAGGTCTAAAAACCAGGTCTAAACCAGAACTAAAACCAGGTCTAACCCAGGCCTAAGACCAGGTCTAACCCAGGACTGAATCAGGTCTAAAACAGGACTAAAAGCAGGCCTAAACTAAGACTGAACCAGATCTAAACCAGAACTCAAACCAGGTCTGAACCAGGACTAAACCAGGACAGGGGGTGTACTGGAATGTTCATTAGTTACCATGGTGACACATTGCACACACACACAAAAAAAAAAGGAAAGATAAAACCAAGAAAACATACAAGATGGATTAAAACAACACATTTTCAGTGATCAGTACCGGTTTAGTAGGAGTAACTAACAGGAAAACTGTGGGCTAATGCTCTTTGTCAGACTTAAATTAAAATCTAATTTGGATAGAGATCATGTTTTTGGTCATACTGGCTAAAAAGTGATGTACTGTGGCTTTAAATAACTTGAGGAGTGGCCATAATAGTCACATTTTGCAGTTGAAAAGACACTGATGAGTCTGAGTTCTCACCTGAAACACGGGCACGGCCGGGGATAAGGGGGGAGCTCGGGGTTTCACTGGGACCCTGGGGCTGGAGGGGGAGGACGGGGAGGGGGCCAGGGGGAAGAGGGGGAGGGGGCCAGGGAGTAGGGGGGGCACAGGGGGACGGGCCTAGGTCTAAGCTCTTGGACAGGTTCCTCCCTTCCAGTTGGGAGTCCGCTCTGTTGGGCTGTGGAGATGGAGGCGGGGGGCCCTCTGCTGGAGGTGCCTGGTATTGTCTCAGTTTAGAAGCAGGAGCGTAGCCTCTTTTCCCTGCAAACACAACACTACAGTTTGAGTGAAGCTTTGTCCTTCAGTTTTTATTTTCAGAAAGATAAACGCACATTCATGTGTTGGATTAGGTAGAAAATACAACAATTTGGGATAATGAAGCAAATTCTGTTGAACATTCTATTGCCTGATTACAAATGTTTTGAGCTGATTTATTATTAATATTTATTTGAATATAATTTAATATTAATGGAAGCCCTTTGAGATGTAACATCTCGTTTGTCGAGCAGGTCCTAAATACATTAACAAAAATAGCATTTACAGAAAAGAAAGGGGAAAAAACAAACAAATTAAAGCGAAACAGTTGTTTGTATGTGAAGTGGTGGAAAGTAACGAAGTAGTAAAAGTGCTGTACGCAAGTACAATTTTTTAGGTATCTGTACATTTTCAAGTGGATACTTTTACTTTTACTTCACTACAGTTGAGAGCAGTTATCTGTACTTTCTACTCCACCACATTTCTGAACTGGATTGAAACATTTTTAATACTTTTTACTCTTTAAGTACATTTTAAAAAGGTATTTTAATACTTTTTCTTAAGTACTTTTACTTAACTTTTACTTGAGGTTTTTAAAATTTTTTTTGCTCCAGTCTCTGTACTTCTACATAAGTAACTAAATTTAGTTACATCTGTCACCACTGTGTATCCAGGTTTGCCTTAACTTTTCTTATGTCTGGTTCTGTTTATTTTGTTAATGTGCTTGGTGTACAAAATTATAAAAATTATATAAAAAATGTAATCAAAATAAATGAAAGTTCTCTGACCTCCAGCGTCCACGAGCCAGCGCCTCCGGTCTCCTTTACTGTCCCTCTCACTGACCACAGCCACCAGCTCCCCTTTAATCAGGCTCAGGTCCAGGTCTCTGCTGCCCACCACGCCACATGTCACCTCAAAGATCCGCTCCCGTGGGTGCTTCTGACACAGCTGATGGTAGCGGAGGGCCCAGCACGGGTGCACAGGCTGGAGAGGAGGAATGAAGGAGAGAGGGACAGAGGAGTGGGATTATTATATGGGACTATTGTACAAGTTACACTGCAGCAGATTATTCATTCAAATCTTCTGCATAAATAAACTTTACATTACTAAATTTTACAACATATAAACCATAACGACTATAGAGCCACATCAGCCCGTTTGACATTATAATGTGTTTAATGCAGCTTTGTGCAGGTTTGTTTATAGTCCAATGAGATTCATTTGGTCTTCCGATATTCTGTGTTATTAGGTTCTTTTTTAAATCAGCTGACCAGACACGTCACAGCAACATCACGTGACCACTCTGAGGAAGACGCTAGTGAGCAGTCGAAACTGTCAGGTATGAAATAACACTCTAGGTGTGAAAAAAAGAACCTAATAACACAGGTTTGTTTATGTTTGCCTGTGAGCAATATGAGTGTTTATGGTCCTGTTTAGTTTGATTTTCAACAAAAGCAGGAGAATGACTTAACTGTTGATTAGGGACAGGGACTGGTTTAACAGCTCCTAGAGTCACACACACTCAGTTTTTGACCATTTTTGACCAGACAACTGGAAATTAATTTGTACTAAAATGACCAAAAAAGACTAGGAACATAGATAATGCTATTAAACCCTCACATACACAGTTTAACAGCAAAACAAAGTGATTTGGTAACACTTTACAATAACTACACCTTATTTAGCCTTAATAAAGCATGAACAAAGACTTAATTAATAATGATTCATGCTTAGTAACTACTTAATGACTACCTGAATTAGCACTTAACTTGCACTTATTTCACCTGTGCTGTAAATAGTTACTCATAAGTATTTCTTACTTAATTACTCATGAACTAACCATTTGTGTGTGCACTTGTAAATGTATATTTAAGTACACATTTGAGCATTTATTAATGATAAGTAAGCTATGAGAGAATGATTTACTAGTAATGCATTATTGTTTCTCTGGAATTTGACCAACCTTAACAAATTCTTAATAAAGCATAATTAGTCTTCACTTTAGAAAAGCTCTCTGAAAGACTTAACTAACAGATAACAGCTGCCTGAATGATCATTGCATCACATTATTAGTAAATCATTCTCTCATGGTTTACTAATCATTAATAAATGCTCAAATTTGTACTTAAATATGCATTTGTAAACATGCAAATTGTTAGTTCATGAGTAATTAAGAAGTATTGAGTTACTATTTTCAGCACAGGCGAATTAAGAGCAAGTTAAGTGCTAATTCAGGTAGTAATTAAGTAGTTACTAAGCCTGAATCATTATTAATTAAGTCTCTGTTCATGCTTTATTAAGGCTAAATAAGGTGTAGTTATTATAAAGTGTTACCAGTGACTTTAGTAAGTAGCAGTAGTAGTCAAGTGTCTGACTGTCCACTAGAATAGGCTGAGCAGACATCGCTATTTACTACGGTTGGGCGGTATCCAAATTTTGATAACATTAAACCTTCTCAGCATTTTACTGGGGTATACCGTATACTTTGACTCGTTACGAATTATTTTGTAGCTTGTGCCTATACCATGCAGAAACAGAACAGGAAGCATTATATTTGCCTCAAAATATTGAAAAGTGCCAACAAAACATGCACACATTTAACAACTTTTATTAACATTTTTCAAGTGCAAATGTAAGTCAGTCATCATAAATTAAATAACAACAAATTGTACAAGGTGAGCTAAAGTGCACTTCCAGCTTAATCAACACAAATCGATGAGCCTAAATTAAAACACGGCCCTACAGCATCTTACGCTCTTATCAACAGGACTTGGAATAAAATGCAGTAATGAAAATATAAGCAGTGGCATAGGCTATAGGCTCCATATTCTACGAATTCTGAAATTGCAATAGGTACACTCAGTTGGTTTATTCATCTGTCTCCCCTGTCATTCAGCCTGAAGCCAAAATGTTGTCAAATTGCAGTAGTACTAGCTCTGCACTGGTATCGGTTCATATCAGGTACAGACAGATACTTAAAGTTTTAGTATGGGAATCGATATCGGAACTGAAATAGCTGGATCACGTGTCTTTAAACCCAGACAAATATAGAGAACAGTGACTTCATACACAGTACACAGCAGAGAGCGGTTTATATACTGAAGAATGTCGTGGTAAATACAGACCATAGTGACAGGTGCGCTCAGAGCCTCCTCCACAGTCTGACACAGATCCTGCAGTTTCCTCATGCCCTCCATCACTGTAGCCTCCGCCCACTCCCAGAATGCACTGGGGCTCATCCCGCTGTGAGGGAGCTGCAAAAAACACAACAAGAAAACATCATCCTAATAACACCTTTACATTTGTGTTGTCTGCAAAATACTTATCAAACCTCTCCAAAGTGCTGTCAATAATAATTCTCTGCACACTCAGTGATTCTAGTTGTTTCCTCTCACTACTTACTCACCAAACTTGTATTTGGAGGCACTGATGCATGTTTGAGTCATCTGTAATTGCATATTTTCAACATGTCAACTCCCATTTAGTATCACAGTTTTCTAACGTGGACATCAGTGGACTTGTTTTTTTTTATTAAGTCATTTTATATCAAAATTAAAATTTATAATGTCCAAATTATTTTTAAGTCTATTTTTAAATTATTTTAAGCTATTATTTATTATCTGTGTTACCTTTTCCTGCTGTTCTGAAATTGTGCATTGCAACACTGGAATTTCCCCACTGTGGGACTAATAAAGGCATATCTTATCTTATCTTATTAAAACCTTAATGATCCACAGATGTCGTCGTGGATTCTACCTCTAAAGCAGACTCAAGCAAAATATGTGTATAGGCTGTTTATTCTATTTCTGTCTTGGGGGTGACAGGTGCATGATATGTCTTGCAAAAAGCTACAATCACTGGTAATTAACATCAAACTGAGCTACTGAGTGTCGATAAAAATTCTCTAAGTTCAAGGTAAAAGACGTTAAATACAGTTGTACCTGAGTAGCAAAAGTCTGGAAGAGCTGTGTCATGTCTGAGGCCAGGTCTCGGTGTAAACAACTGAACGTCCCCAACAGTCTCCAGATGAGCTGCAGAGACACGGTGTTAAACCGGGGCAGCTCTGTGAGGAGGAGAGTGTTCATGGTCCTGTGGGGGGCGCAAGAGAGCAGAGGGGGAAGGACATCAGTACAAGTACAATGTCATGTATTTTAGTGAGCGTATGTCCATAGCCAGTGTTGGGGAGTAACAGATTACATGTACCAGTGTTACATAATCAGAGTACAAATTATGAGTAACTGTATTCAGTTACAGTTACTGTTTCAGTGAGTGGTCATTGGATTACAGTTACTTTATTGAAATAAATAGATTACACAGCGGTATTTTCCTGTTTTCCTGTTTTCACATTTTGGGCTGTATCCCCCCCTGTTCTTCTTTCTTTTTTTTTTTTTTTTCGGTAATTCCACTCATTGTCTAAACCAGGTCGAAATCAGGACTAAAACAGGACTAAACCAGGACTAAAACCAGGTCTAAACTAGATCTAAACCAGGTCTCAACCAGGTCTAAAACCAGGACTAAACCAGGACTAAAATGAGGTGTAAACTAGTTCTAAACCAGGTCTAAACCAAGTCGGATGTGTCCTCCTCCTCTTCTATCAATAATATTTTTAATTTGGTTAAGAAAAGTCTGGGCTTTTTATTTTCTTTTAGCAGACAAAACATCTTATGTTACGATACCCTAGTCTTTGGATTACTTGATTTGCTGTAGAGAAGCAAAGTATTCAGATTACATTACTCACCTAAAGTAATTTAATGGATTATGTTACAAACTACATTTTGGGGTATGTAATCTGTAATCTGTAGGGGAATACATTTTAAAAGTAATCTTCCCATCACTGTCGATAACCTGTATTCAAGGGTTTCAAAATGATGAAAAGTAGCGTGACTGCCATAGATATTAACAATTTAAAACAAAATATTATATATTTTTGAACCCATGAAATACAGCATTGAAAAATAATAGACATAATACTGTAAATCAGGAGTCTCCAACCTGTGGCTTGGGATCTACCAGTAGCTCTCCTCCCCCTTCCAGGTCGCTCCCCAAGGGATTTCTGAATTACATGTATTGTGCTGAATAACAAAACACTGATTAATGACATGTCTTATCATAGTATTATCTGGAAGGCTTTAATAATAACTAATAAATGGATAATTACCAGGTGTTTCCCTCTCAAGTCTACCATTTCTTAGTTCACAGTCATGAAAAAAAAATAAGATAACAAATTTGTGGGTCAATCATACACTGAATGTTTGGAATCAGATACAAAAACTATTAAAGAGAGCTGTGGTCTTGTCTCGAGCTGTCCCAATAAATGGAAATGTTGAGTTCTTGCTATCTTTTTCAGATAGGAGCTTTAGGTGCTGGGCAGAGAGAGGCTTGATCATAGTCAGTCAGTTATTTGAAGTAAATGTATTTAAGACTTTTTCCCAATTGAGAGCCAAATACGGCTTACCTTCCAGTGACCATTACATGTACTTACAGTTAAGAAATTATATTACAAAACATAAGGACTGGGATCAGAAGAGACCCAACAAATACTGACAAATATTTTAGTGATCTACTTGAAAATTCTGGCGTATTGAAAAGCAAGTGAGCAAGATTTACCAAAAATTGTTAATGGACGTGTCTAATAATACAAATCATATAAAACAACAATGGGAAATGGAAATTAATCTGACTGTGGATAATGATACCTGGGCGAGTTTGTTCTGGTTGTTATAGAGGGGTAGGAAGTCAGATTTGGAAGGAGTTTGACTGGAAGGTCAAATTAAGATTTTTTAGAACTCCGCTGAAAACTTTTATTTCAAAATGTAGTCTTAGTGACAAATGTTGGAGAAAGTGTGGACTTGTGGGCGACCAGACTCACATATTTTGGGACTGCCTCGATATAAAACGTTTCTGGATTGATGTTAAAGATGTTCTACAAAATATATTGGCTGGGGACCTGTTGATGGACCCAAAGATGTTTTTGCTTGATATATTTCCTGATGGTCTCTCTCATGATCAGTGCTTTCTGCTGCATCTTCTTCTGATGACTGCAAGAAAAATTATCACTATCTATTGGCTGAAACCTGAAATACCGACCGCTGAACAGTGGAGATCAAAAATCTGAAGAGTTTATAAAATGGAACTGTTAATGGCTCAACTACAGCTCAAGGTGCCAACTTTTGAAAAGAAATGGAGCCCAATTATTGACTTTTAAGACACGTATTCCCTAACATGCCTTATTTTTTGTTTTATTTTTGCAAATTTTTTTCTCTCCTTTCTTCTTCTAGAGGGGGGAAGGGGGAAAAAAAAGTGAATATTTAAATTGTGTGAAGGCCCGGCCTCAGGACACTGTTGATGTGGATTGATTTGTGGCAATAAAAGTTCAAAAATAAATGGACAATGGTTTATGTTTTATAGGCATCTAACTGTACCCAAAGACTCGCCCCCTTACTTATAACTGTCTCAATTTCTTGCGGTCACTAAAACTAGTAGCTTGCTGGCATTTTTGCTTTGAAAAGGAAGCTCACAGGAGGAAAAAGTTTGGAGACCCCTGCTGCAAATCAAATCTCTGGCAGCAGTTCTCCTTAAGACCACCAGATGGCACTGAAGGCCAACATTTGACGTTTATGTATTTACAAGCTGCAGTTCTTTACACATATTACAGCAATACAGTTTGATTTGTATAAACTTGATCACAGAATGTCTCTCAGTCGTCCAGGGAGGCTTCAGAGCAAAAGAAAAACGGTTTACAGGAGTTAACAGAATCAAATTTTCTTACGCTTTGATGAGAGAACACTCAACCACAGCAGTGTTGAGTTACAGACATGACGCTGGCACAACCTGTGATCCGTGCACTGAAAACCCAAACCTCAAATGATATGTACCATCATGTCCTCTAATAGGCCTGGGTGTGTAGGAGGTCAAAATAACACTTGTGTCCAGCTCAGTGATCCCATAATGACAGGCTCCTGCTTCAGACCTGCTGTTTAGACCGTGTCTTTTTAGAACTGATTTAGTCTTTGATTTAATCCTGGTCTAGTCCTAGTTTAGACCTCCTTCAGACCTCCACGTTTAATTCTAGTTTCAGCTCGTTTAACCCTGGTGTCATCTTACTTTTTTAAAATCTCTATTATTTTATAGTTGTTTAGTCCAAATTTTGTTTTAGTCCAGTCCAGTTTTGGTCAAGTTTATGTCCTGCTCTAGTTCAGATTTAATACTGCTTTAGTCCCAGTCTAGTCCTGCTCTGATTTTGGTCTAGTCTCAGTCTAGTCTTGGCCTAGTCCCACTCTGATCCTAGTCTAGTCCCGGTCTAGTTCTGCTCTGATTCTGGTCTAGTCTTGGTCTAGTTTTGGTCTGGTGTCTCTCTGGTCCTGATCTAGTCTCGGTCTAGTCCCGCTACAGTCCCCGCTCTGATTCTGGTCTAGTCTCAGTCTAGTCCCAGTCTAGTCCTGCTCTGATTCTGGTCTAGTCTTGGTCTAATGTCGGTCTAGTCTTGGTCTAGTCTTGGTCTAGTCCCGCTCTGACCCTGGTCTAGTCTCGGTCTAGTCTCGGTGTAGTCTCGATCTAGTCTCGGACTAGCCCCCCTCTAGTCCTGCTCTAGTCCCGCTCTGATTCTGGTCTAGTCTGGTGTCTCTCTGATCCTGGTCTAGTCTCAGTCTAGTCTCAGTCTAGTCCCACTCTGGTCCTAGTCTAGTCTTGGTCTAGTCCCGCTCTAGTCTCGCTCTGACCCTGGTCTAGTCTCGGTCTAGTCCCAGTCTTGTGCCAGTCTAGTCCTGCTCTAGTCCGTGTTGAGTGTCGTTTTGTGCGTTTGTTTACTTGTATGTATTGGCTGTGGCCTGCTCCTCATAGCTCAGGTTGCTCTTGGCTTCTATGAGCTCATAGTCCAGAAGTTTGTCCAGTCTTTTCCGGATCAGGTTCCTGGGTCCGACAAGGAGGTCTCGGAGCGCGCAGAGGGGTTTGTGGATGAGGGCACGTAATCGCTTTTCCTGAACGGACAGAAACACGTTTAAACAAAGGAAAAGAGGAGACCGGAGGGAAGGATCAGGAGGTCAGAGGAAAGGCTGATTCAAGACTGAACTTATCAAAATTAATAATAATACACATAAGAATATATATTTTAGTTAGTACACATTTATTACCCCAAGGAATCTCAAAAGCAAAGTATTTTAAAGAGTTAAACAAGGAATAGTTCTGGGGTAAATTAAAAAAGGTGTCATGAATATGTACATTTTCTGGTGTGGGTGTGTGTCTGTGTGTGTGTGTGTGAGTGTGTGTGTCTGTGTGTGTGTGTGTGTATGTATGTGTGTGTGTGTGTTAGAGATGCGCGGATGGGCTACTTTTTCATCCGCAACCGCATCGCAAAACTCATCATCCACCCGCTATCCATTTGCAACCACAGTTTTTCAAAACCGCACCCGCCCGCCATCCGCTTGGTCTCCTCCCATTTGCTCCGAGTTCAGAGTTTTTTATTTGAGTAGTGAATCCGCCACCCGCCCGAATTTAATTAAAATATTATTTTTCGTCACGTCATCCGCCCGACCCGCGGTTTAGCCGCGGAGTCCGCGGTTGTAACCGCAATCCACGCATCTCTAGTGTGTGTGTGTGTGTGTGCATGTGTGTGCGTGTGTGAGTGTGTGTGTGTGTGCGTCTGCATGTGTGTGTGCACGTGTGTGTGAGTGTGTGCGTGTGCATGTGTGTGTGCGTGCATGTGTGTGTGTCAATGAGTGTGTGTGTGTGCCCGTGTGTGTGTCAGTGTGTCAGTGTGTGTATGTCCGTGTGTGTGTGTCTGTGTGTGCATGTGTGTGCGTGAGTGTGTGTGTCTACGTGTGTGTGTGTGGGTGTGTGTATGTGTGTGTGTGTGTGTGTGTGTGTGTGTGTCAGTGTGGTGGGGTGTTGCTTCATGTCTCCATGGAGATGTTACTGCTTGGTTCCACAGTATGGCATTAAGCATATCTAGCTTCATGGAGACAATTGGTGATGCTACCAGACCAAGTTACAGGAGATCTTCAAGATATTTGAGCAATAGTATTATGTAGTACTCAGTGTTGGGAGTAATGTGTTATAAAAGTAATGAATTACTGTAATGTGTTGCTTTTTGCTGTATCGCAGTAATGTGGCATTACAGGGAAAAAAATGGGAAGGTGGGAAGGTGGTGTCACACACGCACAAGGACCGTCGCTGTATTTCTCTTCCCTTAAAAAATCCTCTATACAACCTTTAAAGCTCACAAGAGTCAGTTTTGTGTAATATAGGCCCTTTAAACCATTGTCGCTCAAAAACTAAATGAGGTCCCACAACGGTCTGGGATGACATAAGAAATACAGACATACATCTGAGCATGGACATGACCACACCGCTCATAAACACAGCCAATTCCCAGCGGAGCACTGCAGACTAAACACTCTGTACTCACAAACATGGGCAGGATCCACTGTCTGAGTGCCGTGGTGATTTCTTTATAACAGACCGCCTCCCTCTGCGCGTCCATGTACAGGTCAAACTCCTCCGTCTTACACGAGAGGAATACCTGCGGCAAACAAGCACAACATTTATTAAACACTTTAACACATAATAAATTAATCGACAGGTGTTATCGGCATGAGAGATTCTGATTTCTTCACAAGGGATACATGAGACTCAGTAGATTACATGGGCAGTGTTGGGGAGTAACAGATTACATGTACCAGAGTTACGTAACCGAATCTGTGTATTTTTAGATGCTATAAGGTATGCTAATAAATGCTGAGGAATACAGTATTTGTACTCTCTTTTACTGAAGACACGCGTCCGAGACACCACACACGCTGCAGCCATAGCAGACCTTGCACAGGTCAAGTTTTGGCCGCTACATCCTGTTTTCACATTTTGGGCTATATCCCCCTTTTTTTTTTTTCCCCGGTAATTCCACTCATTGCCGGACACTAAACCAGGTCTTAAACCAGGTCTAAAACCAGGTCTAAACTAGGTCTAAACCAGGTCTAAACCAGGTCTAAACCAGGTCTAAACCAGGTCTAAATTAGGTCTAAACCAGGTCTAAATTAGGTCTAAACTAGGACTAAACCAGGTCTAAACTAGGACTAAACCAGGTCTAAACTAGGTCTAAACTAGGACTAAACCAGTACTAAACCCAGGTCTAAACCAGGACTAAACCAGTACTAAACCCAGGTCTAAACCAGGACTAATTCAGGACTAAACCAGGTCTAAAATCAGGAATAATACCATGACTAAACCAGGACTAAAAACAGGGCTAAAACCAGGTTTAAACCAGGTCTAACAACAGGAGTAGAACCAGGACTAAAACCAGATCTATACCAGGTCTAAACAAGATCTAAACCAGGACTAAACCAAGACTAAACCAAGACTAAACCAGGATTAAAACCAGGTCTAAACCATGTCTAAACCTCATCTAAACCAGGTCTAAAACCAGGTCTAAAACCAGGTCCAAACCAGGTCTAAACAAGGTCTAAACCAGGACTAAACCAGGACTAAACCAGGACTAAACCAAGACTAAACCAAGACTAAACCAGGACTAAAACCGGGTCTAAACTATGTCTCAAACAGGATTTAACAGGACTAAACAATGCTGTGCAGACCATGTCTCCTCCTCTTTTATCAATAATATTTTTAATCTGGTTAAGTAAAGACTGGGATTTTTCTTGTCTTTTATCAGACAAAACTTCTTAAAAAAACGTTCTTTCCTCGTCTTTGCTTCTCTACAGCAAACCAAGTAATCCAAAGTATTCAGATTACATTACTCACTTTAAGTAATTTAATGGATTCCATTACAAACCGCATTTTGGGGTATGTAATCTGTAATCTGTAGGGGAATACATTTTAAAAGTCACCTTCCCAACACTGTACATGGGTGTGTCCGAATGTTCACCCTAACCCCTAACTCCTCATTCACTCCATAGTCCTGCTCTCTTTAACGCAAGGGAGGCCAAACTACGGCCCGGGGAATCTCTTTAATCCGGCCCGCCGAACTTGAATAATGATAATAATAATTTTCAGTGTTTTAAAATAAAACACAAAAATAAAAAGTAAATACCGCGGGACTTGAAAGACAGATATTTTGTTGTAATGCGTTGTAATGATTTTTAATGATGGGATATTTCAAAAACATGGGATAGGTTTTCTACATATCCCAGGTTCTTTTTTCTCTTATGAAGTGGATTACCAAAAAACCCCATCCATCTGCTCCTGGTCCGGCCCATTCCGTCAAATTTTAGAACACTTTGTGGCCATAAAGTTTGCCCACTCCTGCTTTAGCGCATTACACAGTACACTCATTCACACAGATTCAGACACACAGCTCACCGCTGTCGGGTCACGTGACTCTGGCGTCTGGCTGAAAAAAACGTCTAAACTCTGATAAATCTCGATTTCTGTCTAGGGTGACGAGAATTTCAAAATTAAAAAACTGGGATGTGGTGGTTAGTAATAAAATTGTGAAACGTGCGTAATTAAGGGAAATTGTTATGCAGAGATTCATGACTAACATGTGAGTCAGCATAGTCACATTTTTTTCAGTTTTGATAATTTTTAAGCAGCTTTTCTGTATTTTACCTAAACAAATTACAATTTATAGGTATGAAATTGGTCAAAAATAGGGACACCTGGGACATTTCTTGTATAAAATTGGGTTAAATCAATGTTTTTTGTATAAATCTGCTGGGACAGGGGACAAAGACCAACAGCAGCCTCCGCACCGTTCTCTGGTTTGGGGGCCAAACCGAGGCACTTCCTGGTTGTGCTTTAAATAGCGCATAGTGGCGTGCTCAAGGGGGGACGTGTGATCGTGGACTCGACCATTGTGGACTATTTGGGGTATTATTTTGGGTTTTTTAATTCATTTAATGGAATTTATGTTAACCTTATGAGGGGTTCTTTAAGTTATTTTTATTATGTTTATTTCCAAGTTGATTTGTGTTCATCAATACAGTTTGTGTATGTTAATTCCTTTAAAACCCCATTTTTCGTTAATTGGTTAGCCCGGGGGGAGGGGCTAAGGGGCATAAAAGGAGGGAGTTCCAGTCATTTGGTAGTCTGTTTTTGGCCTGACTGCGTAGGTGCTGGCTACTGTAAGTGTGATTATTGTAAATATTGTTGTAAATACTTCTTTTTTTGTTGGACTCTACCACCTCATTTTTTTCACTGTAAAATTCCCCTCTGCACTTGGAGCTGTGGTGTGAATAAAAACCCACTTAAGTGAAGTTTTTCGACTGAGTCATATATTTTTTTTACATTTATTTTGGACGAACCCGTGACAGACTAATAATAATAATACAAGTTGTCGTCACGGTGGATCAGATGCGAATGGACTGGATTTGCTTTTAGGCCAATAGACTCCACAGTCGGACGGCCATTCCAGAACGCACAGATTACCAGTCCGCCCCTGCCGCTAACACCAGAACGGTTTATTTAAGAGAATTTTATTCAAAATCAGGATTTACAGAGCCATAAACCAGCACTTTTATCTGTTTGCATTTAGTCGTGCTATGTCCAGTGAAACACCTGTCACTAGTAATGGGCAAATGAGTCGGAGCTCCGGAGCACGTCTCGTTCTTTCTGAAACAAATTGCTCTGAAGCACTGCCTCGGAGCTCGTCTCGCAGCAGCCGCTCACGTGACTGAAGTGTGGAAGTGTCAGTCCCTCCCCCTACTGCTTCACTCTGCGTGTCAATTGCTTCAGTGTATCGAAGCGTTTCATTGGCTCAGCGAATGTTCCGCTCTGCGATTGATTCAGAGTGCTTCAGAGTGTTCAGCGCACTTCTGTGGTTTAACAAGCGCTAAACTGCTACAGTATAAAAGATGCACCAATATTTCTTAAAAATGTTGGGTAGTGAGGAGTATGGTGTGACGTTAGTGGTGATTTTGGTGACTTTTGGCGACTTTTGGCATTTGTTTCATTTTCGATGGCATCTACAAGTGGAAAAAAGCGATCCATGGTTTGGGATCACTTTGATCTAATTCCACCTAACAAGGTAACACCTATTTTCTTATTTACAGCATGTTATAGTCCGGTTCCTTATTGTCATTTTTTGACCTTAGTGGGAAGTTTTTGAGGATTTGCTAACCTATATATTTTTGGAAAGGTTATAGTATATGGAGTCAGAAAATCAATGTTTGCATTTGCCCAGAGGTCTTTATGGTGGCCATATTGGATTTTGAAAAAAATGGCCACCAAAACACTCTTTTTGGAATATCTCAGCCTCCGAATAAGTTGAAATGTTGATTTTAACTGCTAAGACTTACGTTAGGACCTTGTGGCTCCTCTCTCTGTACCTGCTGCTGTGAACCTCGACATTTTGGTCTTAAAATGTTTATATGAACCCGCTCTACATGATCCTGATTTATTTATTTATTTTTTTTGCTATTTTGTCTGTCATAAAAATCCTATTCATAATATAAAGCCCGTGGGCGGATGAGATCCGTCCTGAGTATTTCAAGTCTCTGGATGTTGTGGGTCTTGGCTGACACTTCTTCAACATCGCATGGCGGTCGGGGACAGTACCTCCGGACTAGCAGACCGGGGTGTTGGTCCCTCTGTATAAGAAGGGGGACCGGAGGGTGTGTTCCAACTACAGGGGAATCACACTCCTCAGCCTCCCCGGTAAGGTCTGTGCCAGGGACTGGAGAGGAGAATCCGACTGTGGTTTTCGTCCCGGTCATGGAACACTGGACCAGCTCTACACTCTCCATCGGGTGCTCGAGGGTTCATGGGAGTTTGCCCAAACAGTTCACATGTGTTTTGTGGATCTGCAGAAGGCATTCGACCGTGTCCCTCATGGTGTCCTGTGAGGGTGCTCTGGGAGTCTGGGGTTCGGGGCCCTTTGCTAAGGGCTGTCCGGTCCCTGTATGACAGGAGCAGAAGCTGTGTTCATTGCCGGCAGTAAGTCAGACCTGTTCCCAGTGCATGTTGGAGTCCCCAGGGCTTCCCTTTGTCACCAGTTCTGTTCATTGTATTTATGGACAGAATTTCTAGGCGCAGTCAGTGGCTGGAGGGGGTCCGGTTTGGTTTGAGCAGGATCATCTCTGCTGTTGGCAGACGATGTTGTCCTGTTGGCTTCATCAAACTAGGACCTGCAGCACTGGGGCGATTTGACCCGTGTGTGAAGCGACTGGGATGAGGATCAGCTCTTCCAAATCTGAGGTCGTGGTTCTCGACCGGAAAAAGGCGTTTTGTCGTCTCCGGGTGGGTGGAGAGTCCCTGCCTCAAGTGGAGGAGTTCAAGTATTTCGGGGACTTGTTCACGAGTGAGGGGAGGATGGAGCATGAGATTGACAGGTGGATCGGTGCAGTGTCGCCAGTGATGCGGTCGCTGTATCGGACCGTTGTGATGAAGGGCAAGCTGAGTCGAAAGGCAAAGGTCTCGATTTACCAGTCAATCTATGTTCACCAATGGTCATGTGCTCTGGGTAATGACCAAAAGGAAGAGATTGTGGATACAAGCGCTCAAAATGAGTTTCCTTCGCAGGGTGTCTGGGCGCTCCCTTAGAGATAGGGTGAGGAGCTCAGTCACACAGGA